TCCAGGACAGCCAGGGCTACACAGAGAAACCCTGTCTAGAAAAAAAAAAAAAAAAACAAAAAAACAAAAAAACAAAAAACGGGGGCGAGCTTAGCGTCCCAGGGCAGAGCCCTGTATTCAATCTCCAGCACCAAGAAAAAGAAGACTGAAAAGCCCACATATCCCAAGGTTCCTCTCACCATCACTCTTGGGGTTCCCCAGGACCTTCAGCACCTCGGCGTTGGTAGGGTTCTGGCCCAGGGCTCTCATCAAGTCCCCACACTGGCTGTACAGGATCTTGCCATCACCCACTCGGTCAAACAGCTCAAAGGCCTCTTTGAACTCTGAGATGCAAGCAGAAGGCAGTGTCGACCAGGGAATTCGCATCACCTCAGACATAAAGGAGGTTCAGTTGGGAAATGAGGTGCTAGAGCAGGGCAGAGCACTGTGTGCTGCAGCTGGACGAAGCAAGGGAGGTTAAGAGGACAAAAGTGTGGGAGGTTTCAAGGTCAGAACTGTAGTTGAGAGAACAGAGGATCTGACCAGTGGTTTGGGATTGGACAATGGGGTTTAGGAAAAGGCTTCTCACCCTCCAGCTGGTCCTTGTTAAACTCGATCTGTGAGGGGGGTACGGGGAGAGCAAGTAAGGAGAGATGACAGAGTCTTTTCAATCCCTCTCTAGCTCTCCCAACCTACTGGCAGCCACTTCTGGGGAGGGGCCCTGCCACTTCAGTCCCATTCCCAGCTCTGGGCCTTGGGAGAATCCCAAGAGGAATTATAGGGGGAGGGTTTCCTGGGAACAGGGTTAATCCCATGCCACCTGTTCCCCTCCCTCCACTGCCCTGAGCCCTGCATCCCTCACATAACTGGGGGCTGAACAAAGGCTAAATTTACCCCTGCCCCCAGCTGTGATTGTCTAACAAGCCTGTCCTCTTCAGTCCCCCCTCCTGAGGTTCAGAGATGTGGCCTTTTGAGTTAGCTAGCCAGGGGCAGACAGCAGCTCTCTCCCTTCACCTTGAAACTGGCCTGGCCTGGGAACCCCCAAACTCATAGTGTTCATTCATCCCCTACTTTTCCCAAACATTCCCTAATCCGCTAGGCTGTATCACATCCTTGAACCGCCCGCTTCCAAATTCGCACTTTGCTGGGACTTACCACCACTTTGGAGAGATCAACAGGGGGCTCCTGGGTTTTTGCAGGAGTCTGGGGGGCAGCTGACTCAGTCTTGGTCTTGGCTGGAGTGGTCCCTGCTGTAGACCTGGCAGCAGGCTTAGAGATGGAGGGTCCTGCTGGTTTCTTCACAGGAACATCCTTCTTGGGAGGCATGATGTCAGGTGGCCAAAGGACAGTGTGCCGGTGGGGGCACCCATCTCTGTTTAAATAGGCAGGGAGTCTGGGATGTCAAGGGGCGGGGGCAGGGGCAGGGAGCCAGTTGGCGGTGGCAAGGGTGAGGGACAGGAGAGTTATGTGAGTCTGCCTTCACTCCCCTGGCCTCCTGTAGCTCAGGACTCCTGCCCCAAAGTTTTCTTCCCTCTGCCACTCCTCCCCCAAAGCTGACAAGAATATTGTTTCCTTTAAGGGCAGGGGGAAGAAACAAGAGACTTCTCAGATTTAACCTCCAGGGTAAGACTAGGATGCTTGCCAGTGATACTGAGATAGATAGGAGTGAAGAGAAGAGGGGGGGAAAAAACCTCAACAAACAAAAAAACCCTGCATTAGCCCAAGCAATGGAAGGACTTGGGGATGGAGTGGGACCTGGCCAGCTTAGGAAGAGCCTATTGTGAAGTGGGAAAATCTTAACTAAGGTCTGGAAACAGTAAAAGGTGTGTTTGTGATGGGGGTGTCTTTCCACACCCTTTGCCCATACCCATAGTTTAATGAACATTAAAAGTGTAGTCCCTGGGCCCTCACCTGCCCCCAACCTGGAATATGCACAGGAACCGAACAGTGACTTTACCCACTGTCTTCTGCACCTAGTGCTGATTTATGGGTGCAGGTGTCGACAGGTTTGGGTTTAACATGTGCCACACACAATTCCAAAGAAAGAACGTTTTTCAACAAGGTACTGTTATCAAATCGGACAGAAGGTTAGGATGCCTAATGAGCTTGGAGGGAACGCGCGGGCGAACACACACACACACACACACACACACACACACACACACACACACACGTGAAGGGAGGGTTCTGGGAAACAATGAGCCTAGATTCGCTAATCCAAAAGGTGACAGGGTCTCCTCTGGGTTTGGTGGGTATTCCCACACCCACACTGCAATCAGCCCCATGATAAAAACCTGAGCTCAGCTTTAAGTCACAAACCTTGCTGCCAGCGCTGGCAAAGGGAAGGGGTCGCGTTTGGGAGCTGGGAGGAGGTTCTGGCAACTCTATTCTTGGAGAAAGAAGATTTGGATAGCATTCTGAGAAACTGGTCATTCCACTTAGGCCCTGAGACTCGGGTAGAGATAGTGTGTCTCCTATTTGCAAAAGGGCGTCAGGTTCTTTTCACTGCAAATTGTCCCATTTTTTGGAAAATAAGAAATCCTTCTGCAGACAACACGCCTGTCTCTCTCATTCATACTCCTAAACCACAGAGGGAAAAGGCCCACCCAACCCTGCAAAACTCACCTTGCCGGGTGCGAAGAAGGGCCGGGGGGTAAGGGGGGCGGGGTGAGACTAAGGGCTGTTCCAGGCCGGGAGGGGTTAACTGGGGCGACCGCGGAGCATGCCGGGAGTTGTAGTCCGTGCGCGCTCACCGGAAACCTCTCTCCTTCGGTGAGAAGTGGCGATGACTTCCGGCCCGCGGTGGCAGTTGGTGACTCAGACTCGGCAGTGTTCGCGGGTTCCGGAACGGAAAGGGCTTGCTCTTCTCCACCCATGACCCCACGGCTGCGGACCAGGGACGCCCGCAGGGCTCGGGGCGTGGCTGCAGCTGCGATCCGATCGCTTTCGCTTCCTGCAGCAAGCAGTTAGCTGCGGAGAAGCAAGCCC